CTAGTAAAATAACTCAAAATTCATGCCTGGCTGATAGCAATGATTTCTGTGACCTTATATCACAGAGTTGCATCCACCTGTTAGGGCTAATATCCAGGTACCAGCCCCTGACCTCCAACACCATTTTCAGCTTTTTAGACTGTTAGGAATTCAGCATGGTATTCGTAATTCAAATAGCAAATCCACCTCATCATTGTGTTTGAGCAGGATGAGTGTGGCATAAATTAGATAGGAGAGCTCTCGGGCATGTAAATATTCATCCGTACAACTATGATAATTCCATTTTACAAAAGCTTTATTTATCTAACTTGACTTTCTATTAGAGTGGGATTTGTAAAATGATACAGGGGAAGTTTGAGGAAGCATTTATTCTGGCTTTTTATTTTCTGTGACTTTTGCATCTCATTAAAAACATGCAATTGTGAATATTGAGAAATGTTCTAAAGAACCTTATCTATATTATATATATAATTTATATAAAAATAAATCACACATTTTAAAGTAATTAGAGATGACAGTGATGTTTATTTTAAGAGCTGCCATAATTTTAGTACCTACCATATTCTGCAAATCTTATTAATCTGTGTCTCTCTCTCTGCATCAGAAGCTTCTGTGAGTTTGGGGGACGTACAGGCTCATCTTTCTAGCTCTTGTGCCAAGAACAATGACTGGCCTATGAAAGTCATCACATTGCTTTTCTAACTGAAGTAGAAGAAAAGCTAAAATACAGATTTTCATGTGATATAACATGATGGTCCAAAGGAATTAATGATATTATCCTTTAGCATTTTTTTTCTGATTGTAGTATAGTATGCTGCAGATGTTACAATTACATAATTTTGATCTTAATTATACTGTTTTCATTTCTGCATTTCATTTTTTGTGTTTGTTGTTTTGGGAAATCAGTTTTATTTCAAATGGGTAAAACAGAAAGAGAGTAAATGCTCAAGTATATTTTTAAAAATATAAGTAATAAAATTTAGATTAAACTCAATTCAAAGCATTCATCTATAAGAGGACCAGGGGTGAATTTAGGTTTGGGGATGGGTATATAACCTTGGTCAGTCAACACACCTCAAACTACTTTAGGTCTGTGAAATGCGAGTGCCATCTCTCTTTATTTGAAAGGGTTATTTTAACCATCTTGTAAGTTAATATGTTTATATCTATTTCTCAAGTTATAAATCCAAAGGCATGGGATAATATATCACCACTATTTTTATTAGAAATTACACACTTTATCATTTCATTCAATCAGCATCACAAGTTTATTAATTGAAAGTTTTGACTGAGGAGAGGAAACTGCTTTTGTTGGCTCCAAATGCTAGAAAAAAAAAACTGTGTGTTGTATTAGTCCATTTTCACACTGCTGAAAAAGACATACCCGAGACAGGGAAGAAAAAGGGGTTGAATTGATCTTACAGTTCCATATGGCTGGGAGTCCTCAGAATCATGGCGGAAGGAGAAAGGCACTTCTTACATGGAGGCGGCAAGAGAAAAAGAGGAAGAAACAAAAGCAGAACCCCCTGATAAACCCATCAGATCTTGTGAGACTTATTCACTATCAGGAGAATAGCATAAGAAAGACTGGCCCCCATGATTCAATTACCTCCCCCTGGGTCCCTCCCACAACATGTGGGAATTCTGGGAGATACAATTCAAGTTGAAATTTGGTGGGGACACAGCCAATCCATATCGTGTGTATTTCATTTGTTCTTTCAAAATGAACTTTTTTGAATGAACTGCAGTTAGACAGAGGGTTCAAACAGCAAATGTACTGTAAAGAGAATATAATAATAACAAAGTTAAAGACAATGTTGCATTGATTTAGGAACAAAGTATCCACTTCAGAGATTTAATTATTATTATTTTTTAGAAAAGCTTAGTTGGATGGGAAAATGTCTACTGTTAAGGAACAAAGTCTTGTGTGTTATACATAAGATTTTAAGTATTATGTCTATAATAAAAATTATTTGCATAATGATCAAAATCACCATATTTGTTTAGAGATAAATAGAAAATTGTCTTTGAGGATTCAGTCTAGAAATCATTTTTCCAGAAAGTCTCCCTGAGACCCTTGGAGAGGAGATTTCGTTTTTCAACCTTCTCTAAATCCAGTCTTGAAAACTGGGTTAAGCATCTCTCCCGTGTGCTTCCCACTTTTACTTACCAATAGTTAATATACTGTCCTATGATTTTTTTTTTTTTAAACTAAAGTTCTCCTACCAAAACCAAAGTTACTTGATGTCAGGGGCTGTATATTATTCCAGATTTACCTATTCCTGATGCAAGTTCTTGAGATGCTGGAACTACATTCATTATTACAATTACAGTAATGCACAGGGAAGTTGGCCCTTAAGAGAAAGGAGCAAGGTCGGGCCATGCTGCGGGCAGTGTGGCAAACAGGGAGTGTGCAAGTGTTGGATTTGGTTATGGGGAGATGTGGGATCTCTGGATTTGAGGCTTTGCAAGTGGTACAGTTCGTATAGTTTAGTAACAGCAAGATTTACAGTGGGGCCCTAAGAGTGGATGGCTGCATGCAAGATCATTCCATGCAAAGAAGGAATGAAAGATCCATGTAGACATGTCAGTGTCCAGGAAGGAAAACAGGAGCTCTGAAAGAGAGAAAAAGGTGCTAAAATGTTCTGTGGTAGAGAAATGAGATAGGAATGGCATTTGTTTTGCTTTGTGTTTTAGAAAGAAAGTCTATCTATCTTGCCTAGGCTGGCCTCCAACTCCTGAGTTCAAGGGATCCTCCAGCCTCTGCCCCCCCAGTAGCTGGGATTACAGACATGCATCACAGTACCCGGCTTCACTGAGTATACTTAAGTAAGGAAAGGGACAATGTTTAGGAAGCAACATTGAGAATGTATAGTTTCTGTGCCACCAGAGCTAGTCTACAGTAGACATTAGAATTAAACAAACAAAAACAATTGCCACCATTTGAGAGGACTCCAAGGGAAGCCACAGAACCAGAACAGTCTTACCAGACCTTTCCATTATTAGCATATTGACAATGTTAGTACTATTTGGATGGATGGAATGAAAATGAATGCATGAATAGACAAATGAATAAACAGATAAATTGTCAAATCAACATGATTATCCTTTGCCTTAGAAATCACCCTTTATATATTCTTTCCTTTTTATTTATCATATTTTACCTTCCTGTCTCAGAATGACAGTTATAGCCAACTCAAGCCAATGTGAGTTCTGTTCCTAAGTATCTACATTCTAGGATGTTTCTGCAATTAATTAATAATACTCTTTTACTGTGAAAAACTAAATGAGGATGCTCAGAATTCCAAATCCCCAAGCTTTTAAAATGCCATCCCTATTAAAGTTACAAAAAATTCACACCTATGTTTACTCTCCTAAGCTTCGTTAGGGAGTTCCAACAAGGAATCAAGTATATTCCAGATCCCAAAATTTATTAGTTTTATCTCATTTCTTTGGCATCAAGTATGAAAAAGATCCAACTAGTGAATTATAACACAGAATCTCAACATTTAAACTACTGTAATCATCCACATTCCTTTTACAGAATCATTTCTTTTCAGCATGATGAAGAGTTACTAATGAATGGATACTAGACACTTATCTCGGGATAGGGATAAAATCAGAAATATGATGATATGTCTGTCCTAAAAGAGCTTAGAGCCTGGGAAGGAAAGATAGTCATGTGAACAGGCAGGTAACAATTTCAGATATTAAATGGAAAGGTTTTAGTTTTGATTACAAAGGCAGCACATGGGCAGCGGAGTAAAATGTAGGTTTTGAAGTTCAAAGAACAGGTTCAAATACATATTTGCTCCTTATTTCCTGTTATGGGTTAAATTGTGCCCCCCTCCAAAAAAAACTCACACATCAAATTCCTAAATCCAAGTAACTCAGAATGTGACCTTATTTAGAAATAGATCATTTCAGGGTGGGCGTGGTTGCTCACACTTTTAATCCCAGCACTTTGGGAGGCTGAGGTGGGTGGATTACTCGAGTTCAGGAGTTTGAGACCAGCCTGGCCAACATGGTGAAATCCTGTCTCTACTAAAAAGACGAAAATTAGCCAGGCACGTGGGTGCCTGTAGTCCCAGCTACTCGAGAGGCTGAGGCGGGAGAATCACTTGAACCCAGGAGTCAGAGGTTGCAGTGAGCTGAGATCACGCCACTGCAGTCCAGCCTGGGCGACAGAGCAAGACTCCATCTGGGAAAAAAAAAAAAAAAGGTGGGGGGGAAACGCTTGACATACAGACAGACAGGCACCTGAGGAAGAGGCCATGTAAAGATGAAGGAGACTGATGATTCTACCAGCCAAGGAGCACCAGAGATTCCCAGCAACCTCCAGAAGCTGGGGAGAGACAAGAAGGGTCCTCTACAGACAGCATTTGGAGGGAACATGATCCTCCCGACATTTCAATTTCAGACTTCTGGCCCCCAGAACTGTGAGGCAACACATTTCTGTTGCTTTAAGCTGCTCTGTTTGTGGTATTTTGTTACAGGCAATCTTGGCAAATGGCTCCATTCTCTAGAAGCTTTTTGATAAAGTTGTTTAATTTTCTTAAGCATGCTAACCTTTTTCGAAAAAGAAAATGATGTTGCACATAGCTAGGAATTGTTGGAAAAATTAAGAGATCTGGTATACAGTTGGTGCCTAATAAATGGAAGTAGTAACTCTAATAATTTTAAACTAAGGTCTTTTAAGAGTTTTAAAACTCCTGATCACAAAAATCATAAAAATATTTTGTCATTTGTTATTTTCTATTTTTGTTATGAAGTGTGATTATATATAAATATTAAGTGCTACAAATAGTCACTTTATGGACTGTTCATAATTGAAAAATAATCCAAGACTCTAAAAGCATTCCCTTTTATGTTTCACTTTCACTAAATGGCCATTCTCCTGTGCTTAAGGGTATTTCAACTGGAATGAAACATGATGCCAAAAATACATAATTAGCACTAAAATTATTATGCTTAATTTTTTATCATGACAATAACAAGGATTTAGCCATGCTGCAGAAGTGTTTAATTAATTTGCTATGTACGTGTAAAGAAGAGAGGGAACAAATGGGGAAATCATATTAATGCTCATGTTCCTGCAGAAATTCCATTAACCTTGCTTTTCAGCAGCAGCAAAAGGCAGATTCTGTGGGGCCCATTTGTATCCACTTCAGTGACTGCCTGGTCCTCTCCATGCTGAGACCTCAGCATCCTCCATTCCCCCTAAGAAAGGAACGACACCAAGAAATGGCATGGATGCATTATCCAAGATATTTCAGGATGAGATGACGCCAGTGATTTACAAACCCCTCCAGCACGTAGACCAACAAGGAATCTTCTAAATATTTTTATGAATTTCATAGGAAACCCAGAGAAAACACATATAAAAAGAGAACTACAGCAAATTTTACATATAAATAAATGCTGATTCAAAACTTATAAATAAATGTCAACATAGAATTTGAGAGCAAATGAAAATATCAATGAATATGGAAATTCATTTCAGTAGTATTACGATGATTAAACAAAAGGATATTTCATGTATTGGTAGATTTTAGAAAATAATACTTTAAATATAAATATTAAAATTCATAGATAAAAATTTAGCACACATTTTGGATTGAGCTTTATAAACTTCATCAAAAATAAGGAAAAGAGACCAGGTGCGGTGGCTCACTCCAGTAATCCCAGCACTTTGGGAGGCCAAGGCAGGTGGATCACCTGAGGTCAGGAGATGGAGACCAGCCTGGCCAACGTGGTGAAACCCTACCTCTACTAAAAATACAAAAATTAGCCGGGCATGGTGGCCAGCGCCTGTAGTTCCAGCTACTCAGGAAGCTGAGTCAGGAGAATTGCTTAAACCTGGCAGGTGGAGGTTGCAGTGAGCCAAGGTCATGCCATTGCACTGCAGCCTGGAAGACAGAGCGAGACTCTGTCTCAAAAACAACACAACAGTAACCAAAAATAAATACAGAAAAAGAAGGATTTATTTTTTGAATTGTCCCAATTTAACAGAATAATTCAAAAGCATTCCAATTACCACTGTAAACATTACCTCTTTCACTATTCTATAATACCCTCCTGGAAATTTGAGTTAATGCAACTAGATAAGAAAATAAAACAGGAGGCACAATTAAAGGAAGATTCTTGTTGGGAGCATGAAATCTACCATGAGAGTATTATTTACACCACAGAAATTGGCAAATGGTATCAGTCTGGAATCCCTTATGCCAGCAAAGTTGCTTGTTAAACATTTATCAGCACGCCCCTACTGTTAGACTTCCCTCCGGTACCTCAGATGCAATGGTCCATAAAAAATTCATTGGTCCCTTCCTGGCCACATTGCATGACCTGCAGCCTGTTGTTCCTTTGCCAATATCCCCATCTATCTAGGCATTTGCACTAGCAGCTGCCTTTCCTCCTATCTCCTGAAGTCCCTCAGAAATGTCTGCCCAACTTTCAGCCTCCCCACAAGTCCCTTTGTCATTACTTTCCCCCCTCTGCGTCGTTCCAAGGTCCCCCTAGATGGTCTTCCTGTAGCCACTGCCTCACTGCTGAATCCATTACCCTCAATATGCTAAGTATTTCCAAAACAGATCCTATCCCATCACTTCACTGCTTTAAAACCTTCTCTCAATTTTCATTGCATATTCACATTAAAATGCAGGCCTGTTTCAATCTGACACTAACCTACGTACCTATGCCCTCTCTTGCTGATAGGTGAAGACCCGGTTCCACCATCACTACTCTTGGAAAGCTTTTTGCATCTACTCCCCAGAGAGCCACTGGGACTAGAGTCCTCTGTGTGTCCTTCACTCTGTAATCACGCTATAACACAGTGGCCCTCCTGGACCTACCATGCAGGTTTACAGCTCGATAGCTTTGCTCATTTGTGTTTGCTCGATAGCTTTGCTCATTTCGGCTTGGAATGCTTCTCTTTCATCCCTTCTCCACCTGGAATAGTTGCATTCATATATCCAAGCTGGCGCAACTAGTTTCTCTGTGAATTTTGTCTGACCTAGACCAGAAAGAATTACTTACTGCTTCCTCTGGGTCCTTGTTCAACTTTGTACTTCACATGTGGCTGTTCCTCCTGGTGTCTGTGAGTTTCTTTATGTTAACAGATCATTGCTTATTTCATCTTCATCTTTACTCAGCCAATACCTAATAGTATGTTGCAAACAATAAGCACTCAGCACACAGCTGAAGAAAGGATGCATTCAGAACTCAACACTTTTGGTGGAATAGCTTACAATCTTAGAGGAGAAAACCACATCCTGGGAATTTCTGTTGGAGACAAGAACACAGGCTGCAGGGAAACAGGCAGTTGATTGACAGCAGGGAATAAGGTCACAGGTCAGACATGAACACTAAAATAAGACAGCACCAGGTGTGTTTTATGGAAATCACCAACTCAGCAGAGCTCAGAAGGCCTGAGAGGCTTGTGGTATCACAGAAATGTGTATGATGAGTTCTGCCAAGTAATGATCAGTGGTCATGAGAAGCTCAAATTATGTCCCATATCCTTTTATTAAGAAATGTTTAGAAGTTAATTTATTTTAGGAAAAAAATTCTTCCCAAATCTTTTTTTTTTTTTGAGACAGAGTCTTGCTGTGTTGCCCAGGCTGGAGTGCAGTGGCCAGATCTCAGCTCACTGCAAGCTCCGCCTCCCGGGTTCCCGCCATTCTCCTGCCTCAGCTTCCGGAGTAGCTGGGACTACAGGCACTGCCACCACACCCGGCTTGTTTTTTGTACTTTTTAGTAGAGACGGGGTTTCACCGTGTTAGCCAGGATGGTCTCGATCTCCTGACCTCGTGATCTGCCTGTCTCGGCCTCCGAAAGTGCTGGGATTACAGGCTTGAGCCACCGTGCCCGGCCCCAAATCTTAGTTACTACTGTCCTCAAAACAAAACCAAAATCATAAAGGCAACAAACAACAAAAAATGTATTTATTCAGTACTTCTCATTTTCTTAAGATTACATTGTGAACATAGCTTTACAATGTTGTAAAAGTCAACAACTTTGAACAACGTATATTAACAATATTTATTTTTATTTTAAATAATATATTTATTTCTAACTTACATTTTTTTTTTTAACAACATACATGGAGAGGTGACAAAATTCCAGCTATTACGCTAGGGTTTCAAATGTAGGAAATAAAGCATAAACTTTATTTACATTCTACATACTGGAGCAATCTTAATGAGTACTTTTTTGAACAGCTAGGGATGAATAACATAACATTAATAAGCCCGAAGTGCTTTCAGTATCTTCACATGTTGATTAAGCATTTACATTTTAGAATTTAATGTATTCTGGATGTGACTTTTGTTTTCACTGAAATGAATCCACTTGTCCACATCTGCTTCCCAGAACTTCTCTGTCCCCATGGTCACCATCTCTGCACTTTTAAGGATGATGCTAGACAAAACTGTTGTAATAAATACCACAGATGAGTTATTCTTGCCTCATCTTAAAAAAAAAAAAAAAAGCATAAAGGATTCTGAGCAAAATTCACTAGCTTTACCAAATAAAATTGCATGTTACTCTAAATAAACCTATATAACTTTCAAGATTCCATAAATACATGTTACTACCACAAAGTAAAAACAAAAACAAAAAAAACAATATTTTTCAAAGGCCTAGACAAGCATTTGGAGCCATTTTGACTTTTAGAACAGACAGTATTGTAAGCATTTTCTTAGCCTAGTAACCTGGGAACTTTCAGCTACAGTGCAGTGGGTTAGACCAAAGCCACATATTCTGTGGTGTCAGAAGGCAGGTCTTAGTGGCATCAGGCTCCTGAGAGAGTCTCAAAATTATTAATACATTGCATTCCAGAAACTGTCAAAGTGTTCTTGATACTCTTTGACATGGCAAAGATACCCATTTTTTCCCAAGTTGGCAACTAAGTATTTTTATGATATTTTTTGGCCATGATAATTGCAATTTAGAAATCACGTGTTTGTAGGTGTGCCATTCAACAATTGTGGGAGTTATTTTTGCTTGGTCTTCACAGTGCAAACACTCTTGCCTAACAGTATTGCAGAATGAGCACGTTTATGATGAGTAATGAGCTGGCAATTAATAATGCAAGCAAGTCCCATATTATGGAGTCAACATTAACATTATTACGCACGTCCTAACCTGGGGAATGAGTGCTGATTTGCTCTTCACTCTTGTCTCGCAGACACTGATCAGCAGAGAGTTTGGCTTACTTAACTTCACCCTTCAATTCTTAGTATTGGTAAAAAAGAAATAGTCTGTTCCTTACTATCACTGGTTTTTTTGGTTCAGAGGCCCTCAGAAGAATGAGATATTATGGTTAACACTTTGAATTAGAAAAACACATGGCCAAGGATCACTGAGGCATCATTCTTATTGGCATAACATATGCAGAGGCAAAACACAAATTTAGAAATAAAAATTAAATTTATTTTCCAATATAGAAAAATTTAGTTATTTTACATAACCCTGATAAGGCTCTATCCATTCCCTTTCTTGCACTTTTCTTTCTTTTCTATATGCCTAAGAAAATGTTTGACATCATTGAGAGCAATAAAAATTCTAGTTTCTCTTTTTAAAACATTTACAAATTAAATATAGTCTAAGGACAGCATATTTTCTATTTTTCTATTTTTACACTATTACACATTATATAATGTGCATGTAGTACACGTTATATAATGTATATATAATGTTTATATAATGTATATTATATATAGTGCATTGTACTTGGCTCTACTATGCTTATAAGCAATGTATGTGTGTATGTATATTTTTTCCAAGGGAAAGGGCACCCTGGAATGTTTTTAATGCCACATCACACTCCTTTGAGTCACTGGAAGCTTGAGCAGCAGGCTGTGAACAGAAACAAGCACAGAGTAGAGTTTCTGTTTTCTTTTCTTTTCTTTTTTTTTTTTTTTTTTTGAGTCGGAGTCTTGCTCTGTCACCAGACTAGAGTGCAGGGGCGCGATCTTGGCTTGCTGCAACCTCCGCCTCCGGGGTTCAAGCGATTCTCCTGCATCAGCCTTCCGAGTAGCTGGAACTACAGGCGCCCGCCACCATGCCTGGCTAATTTTTGTATTTTTAGTAGAGATGGGATTTCACCGTGTTAATCAGGATGGTCTTGATCTCCTGATCTCATGATCCGCCAGACTCGGCCTCCCAAAGTGCTGGGATTACAGGCATGTGCCACCCTGCCCAGCCAGAGTAGAATTTCTTAATTAAAAAGGAAAGAAAACATCAGATGTAGAGAGGGCAGACTGGCAACACTATCTAGAGGCAGAGATAGTTCTTTATCTCTGTCTCTAGATAGCCTAGCCAGTGTGCGCTTCTCTACACTGTATTTGAAACTGTGGTCTGATATTTTCTTTCCTTTTATTTTTGGGTAATATCAGCGTTTAATGGAATCCTAAAAATCACTGCCTGCCTTCTGACTGCCACTGAGTTGTAATCAACACCAGCAATATATTTCTTCTCTATTTAAATATATGCCTAAGAAAATGTTTGACATCATTTTACTAGCCATTAAAAATAAGTCCATCTCTGAAAAAATCCTTATCCACTATAGCTAGAGGCAAGCTAGAGGCATTTTAGAACACTGAACATGTATTAGATTTCGCTTTACCTTGTTCCTTTTGTTAGTTTTATTTTTCCTGTCATTGCTTAAATGGTGCTGCATTCACGATTCAGGAAAGCAGCTAGCTGATGTTGCTGGGTATAATTTAAAGTCTACACACAATCTCTTACTATCACTGGGAGTGAATTTAAAAGTATTTGCACTCAAATTTTTAAAGGGACAACAGTTTTTACATTTCACTAAATTTCATCATTTTTTATAGTTACAGGGTGGTGGAAAGGGAGAATGTTTTAACAAAATGGCACCCACAAGTTCATAATGTGAAAACTGCTTGTGTTAGCATCTAGAATAAATGCCAAGTCTTAAGTTTTACTTTTTAAAGAGTGTCACAAACGGAGCAAATCTCTTAACCAGTACCTAGTGAAGCCGAAGTTCATAAGACATAGTTCTTGTCAGTAAATGAGATCATGATCACGAGTCTGAGTACAGTTATTTGTAAGTAAAGCTTATTCTTCTTTTATACATCTAGGAAAGGTTCTATATCAAATAAATTTCTTTAGCTTTTAGACACTTGGACAAGGAGAAATGTATGTGTGCATATATATGTACATATATCAATAACTTGCTGACCCTTTCAAAAGCTCACAGTTTTAGAATTGTGTCACTATTTTTGCAGAGAATGTGAGTAAAAGAACGTTAAGCGCTTCAAACTCTGCATCAGTTCTCAGTGCTCATTTCAGAGTCAAACAACAGACGACTAGAGAAAACTCATTTTTTAACCGAAGGAATTACACACCCTTGAAATGAGACATAAAAGCTGGTTGGTTCACCATGGGCAGAAAAATCAATGTGGAAGAAGAGAGGGCGCCTAATCTGTTGGCCTTCATAGGATATTGTTGTCTATAACAATAAAAGCAGTGTTTTGTGGGATTAAAAGAGATGAAAGCATTCATTCAAAATTAAACTTATTTTTAATGAATATCTCTATTGTAACTTTTTAGACACTCTTGTATAGATGTAACCTCTCTTACATAGTACAGGTTTGTGCGTGCACGTTCCCATTTATTTATTCATCAACCAAAGTTACGCACTCTAATCAAATCCTATGCCAGATACTGAATAGACAAAGTTGAACACCTGTCATGGTCCTACTGTGTTTGCAGACCTGTGGGCCGAACAGCTGCAGTCCAGTATCATCCTGGAGGAGCACAGAAAGTGCCGTGGGGAACCACACAGCTCTTCAAGGAGGATCTCTTTTACAGGCATGATGCTTTAGGGAATATGGTGTGGCGGTATTTCATATACATGTGAATAAAACTTAAAAAGGGATTTTAGTGCTGTATTTTTATGATACAAATTACCGTGAGGGAATAGTCTTTATCCAAAAGTCCTAGAGGAAATAAAGCATAAAAAGAATGCTAAAAAGGTTACGTCCATAAAAACATTGATTTTTCCTGGAAAATTGCCAAGCTGTTGCTCATCCAGAAGGAACTAGGTGTGATTTTCATCATTAAACCAGTAAATATCACAGTTATGAATTGGAAACATGAACTTAACAGGTTAAGTCTGTAACAGGTTTGGTCTGTGACTTTAACAGTTTACGTAACCTTTAAAGTCAACACTCTGTAAGAGGAGTCTCTGTCTGCACAATCGGTCACTGCCAATGGGAACTGCCAGGGGAAAATTGGGAACGGCTAGTGGGTACAAACACACATTTATAATGAATAACAACTAGTACTTGGAAGTGTAGTAGGGTGACTGTAGTTAGCAATAATTTATTGTGTATTTTAAAATAACCAAAAGAGTGAAATTGGCATGTTTTTAAACACAAAGAAATGATAAATGCTTGAGGAGACGGATACCCAATTACCCTGATTTCATCGTTACACATTG